AATTATTAATTGACTATATCTATATACTTTATTGTTAATAATAGCAGGAACAAATAGATGTGAATCATGCGATATACGAAGTAAGATTATAAAGTATAGTTAAAATCCCACAAAATTACTAAGGCGTACCATTGTCAATGGTACTTGCTATTAATACCACTCCGTACTTTCATATATTTTAGTTAGAAGTAGTAAATGCGGTTGTAACCCCACAAAATTGAACCCTAAGCCTTAGCACAACACTAGAAGACTTGAAAACCCTAACGTCTATAACAATCTTTCAATAACTAGTAAAACCGTGGTGAGTCTGATGACCTATTTCGATACATAAATATAGCCCATTTTCATAGTTACAAAATTAGTAAATAGTAACCATAAGTGTCAAATTAGATCTTCCATCAAATGAGATCTTGTGTAAACCTCTATATAGGTCTATGTACACTTTTAAGTTTTAACCTTGTTTTTGGTGCAAAATTTTTTATTCTTAAAGCCACCAAACCATAAGTTTCAAAACCTCAGACTATAACTTGAGAGTGTCACACAAAATTCATGATCACAAAAATCTACAAAAACCCAACAATTTCTCCATTGTAGCCAAATTCAGCAACTTTTTATTTTTTATTTTTTTATTTTTGTTTTCCATAGATTCTTGGTTGCACTTTCTCTCTCCTTTGTTTATCAGTCGCCAAATTTCGAGTTTTTCGGGACGATCAACAACACTGATATTTGCTACTTTTACTGGGAACTTGGTCCTTTGATTTTCGGTAATCTTTTTGATAATGTATACAGTATACATGCAATGGGGTTAATTACATGATATTTTCCATGTTAATTTGTAAAATTTCCCGTGAAATTAATGTGGGTGAAATTTAACATGTGGGTTGTGTTTTTACTCCCCTGTTCTTGAAAGATTGAATTGTTAATTTTTGTGGGTATGGGTCAATTTGTGGAAACAAGGGCGGTGATGTAGACGAGATTTTAATTTAGGTCACGAGTATCACCCCACGTAGTTTTACCAACTAAACTAGTTGACATCCACTTTGGTTTCGAATTATAGATGGTTCCTTTTGTTTTGTTTTAATGGACGAATGTGACTGAAAATTAGAATTTACCCATTTATGTTTTGTTGATTTGTAACTAATTCTGAGTTTTAAGAACTTTTAATGGTTTGGTGTTGAATAGTTTTTTTTTTTTTTTTGTTGTTTTTGTTTTTTTTTTTTTGTTTTTGTTACATTTACAGGAGATTTTGTTGAAATTAATACTACTCTTTTTGTTGGATACAGGACCAAGAATCAGAGCTCCTTGTCTGGTCCCACTATAATTGGAGTTGGGTGCTCCTTATTTTGGTGTGTGATCACTTTTTATGTTGATTTTCTCAATTATTACTTTGGCTTTGTTTGATAATGATGTTGTGATGGTTGGATATTGGATTACTTGTTTTATTTAGTTAGCTGGTAGCATAACAATCTAATGTTGTAATTGTTGGATAGTGTTTATCGCGGTGCTTGGTATAATAAGTTGTTATCGTGTTTACAACTTAAAGTCGAGTATAAATAGTTGTTACTGTGTTTATAACTTAGAAGTCGATATGTAGAACTAGCCATCTTATTTGTTTGACCAAAAGCTATCCCAAACATCTAATTTTCATGTTAAGTTGAAAAGTCAGCTTTTCAAGCATACATTTTTTGTGGTGGACCATTAGGAAATTGGCAAAAACCATACCAAATACAGTAAGGTAATAAGGTTTAATATCTCATAAAAATGAGACTTGAAGCTCTTTTGTTCCAATATAGGATTATAGGGTTAAAAAAGCCTTGAAATTGTCTTTATTCCCTGGATTTCCAAACAGTTAACAGCTAAGAGGAGTATTTAGTTATGGATGATAGTTATTTTTGATGTGGTTGCATATTAGAGACGTCGAGTTATGTGTCTTTGGAGTAACCAGGTCTTATAGGAGTTTGAGTGTATCTGAGTTGGGTAATAGATATTGAGTTGATATTTTCTGTCCTACGAGACAAATGATGAGTACATGAAAAGGGTATAAGTATATAATAAGAGGGAAGAATGAGATATGAGTTCATTACAATTGAATTCATGAAAAGGGTATAAGTATATAATCTTCTTGCCAGTGTACTTCCTCTTTTATGAGAGTTTTCTTTAACAGGTTTTTGTGTTAATAATGAAAGGATTACTGAGCATTAGTATCAAATGGGAATGTTACTAGCCCTTGTGTGTTCTTGTTGGAGAGAATTTGGTGTTTGATATGTTCAAGTAGTATTTTATTTAACCTTTTACGTTTACATTTGAAATGGGGTCACAACCACCATGTAATGGCTAGGGGTTATGATGAGATGAGACATTTTGCATGGAACTATAGGTTAGATTAGTGACAACTTGATTTAAGCTGAGCTAAACTTAGTCCATGCAACTGCGCTAGAGTTCATTGCACGTTTTGAAAAAGCTTGGCTTATAAAATTATAGAGTAGAAAGTTGGAAAACAAGATACATATTTTAAGCACCAAATTCTGCAAGTATCGGAATAATAGAAAAAAACTTAAGGACACAAGTGTGAGTAATTTTTAATCTTTTGATTAATAAAAGTATAAAACTCATAAATGGTTTCTTATGTGTTATTTTGTTGCCAAAATTAGATCGTTATGGGTTATTGGTGATACAGAGGAGCTTTTGACCTATAATTAGTCAAACTTGACTAGAGATTTGGTCACTAACTAACCTGAACTCAGCACATCATCACCTGAAGGCGAGAACCAAAATTTTAAAACTATGTTGCAATTTATCTGTGCATTTCCTGGTAAAAAGCCATCTTGGTACTACATAACTGATTCTGTGATGAGGGAGAATTTAGTGGAGTGGAGCAGTTAGTAAAATTCCATATAGCTTAGCTCCTTTGCTTTCTTCTGAGCTGTAGCAGATTTGTAATCTTTGACTCTTTTATTCTTTTCCTTCCCGATATGCTTAACAAGGTTTCCAAGGCTTCCCGTTTCTTTGACATCTGGGGCAGGTTACTCAAACCCTTCAAAATGCTTTATCCAGCTGCTTTGCCGTTGTTATGGTATCTAGGAAAGCATTTCACAAATTTGTTTACATTGAAAGTTTGATTCTTGTTTTCTTGTGCTATTTTGCTTTAGATAGGCTCTATTTTTTGGAATCTTAAACCGCAAGGGAATTAAAGAAATCATATATTAGCTCTCAAGTTGAGAATTGTAAGCATATTTTACGTGATTTTGTTGTGTAGTATATATTTAATAGTTTGAACTAATATCCTGTAATATTTCCTAGTAACAAGAAGAAGAAGAAAAAAGTACCATATAAAAGATGCTGCATTACTTTGTTTCCCAATGATGTTTCATCTTGTATACAGAAGTTTTGTTCTTGTAGTGGGGCTGACGTTGGTTACTGAAAACTTATGATGTTTGACATCAAAATTTCTTGTCTTAAAACCTGTGTTAATGGTCTTTTAACTACTGTTTTTTAAGAGTCAAGTCACTGATTTTTCCCTTTTAATGGAAGTTATTGGAGTCACATTTATTAATGGCAACTCTGTATAAATTATCTTTTGGATCCCTCTTCATTACTTCTTCAATTCCGTATGTTTTTCACAAGAAGTTGTGACTAAATGAGGAGAAATATTTGACCCTTTTTCTTTGGTCATTTCTCCTCGCCCTTTCTCCAATTCTCTTATGTCTATCACCTTGCATGCTGTAAACTAATATAAAAAATAGTTGGCATAAGTGTGTAATACTTGACTGGGTGGGGAGAAATTTACCTCCCATGTGTACGGATTTCAGAGCTTTTCCAAATTGCTGATACATCTATTAGACAGTCTACTAGAGTATTTATATAAGGAATATTAAACTGCAAAGTTTTACTGAGGGCACTTGTCTCCAGAATTCAGCAAATGCCTTTTTAAACTTCTAAGTTCTACTGAAAGAAGTTGTCTCCGGAATACAGCAAATGCTTTTGTTAGCTTGGTCTTCTAAGTGTTCTTTGTCTTTGCATGCAACATGAGCTTTTTGCATACAAAATTGTTGTGAGGCAGGGGAGGGATAGAGGCTATCAATGATGAGGTTATGTGATCATTTGTTTATCATGCAGCGAAGGTGAGTTTTGCTTTTATTAGATGAAGAAGATTCACGTACCATATATGTCATTTTGCAACCATCTCTTGTTAGTTTCCCATCCAGCTGTCCGGAGTTGCTTTAAATGCTAGCTTTAGCCCTTTAAAAAAGATCCACCCTCTTTCAAGCTGAATATTCAGTTTTTCACCAATGGATCAGTGATATGATTGATATTGCCTCTGTCTTCATTTATGTACTTCATAATTTCCCCAACTTATCCGGCGCATCATTCTACACTTTAGTCATGGTTTGGCAATTGTTTCTCTATATTTTTTCCAGGGTCTCCTCTCAATTTTATGGTGTAAACTTTAACATTCTGCTTCTGTTGGGGCTGTGGAACAATGTAACATTTGCAGCAAGGCTGACCCCCCAATTTGTGGGTTGCATTACTAACAAGATCTTCTAGTGAAAAACTTTGCTTCCCCATTCAGTGTTAATTTTATCACGAAAATTTATTTACCTAGACAATTTATGAAGCTCATGTGAAGTGTGTTTTAACTTTGGTTACCAAATTGAGTTGAAACTATATATATTTCTCTCAATTTATTTACCTAGACACATGGTACATTGTATTTAGCAGACACTTTACCACATCCTTCTTACGTATGATGTTTATGGATAGTCAACATGTATCCCTGACCTTTTAATATGTACTCCTTGCATAGATTTTTAAATCGATCACATAATTATGATGCTTGTTGGCCATTTGTGCCTGGTTTTTTGGAAGATTCTGCATAGAAAAGGAAGAGAAGATAATGACTTCAATAACATCCTGTGAATACAGGTATAGATCTGATGGATGCTTAGAAGACAAAGGCACAATATTCCTGTTACCCAATTTGTCAAGTATCCAGTACAAATATGAAGAATCCAAAAGTTGGTAAGGCTTTTCATGCAATGAGGTCCTTAGGAATATCACCAGAGACAGTGAAACCTGTACTTAAGCAACTATTAAAGTTGTATGACAAGAACTGGGAATTTATTGAAGCAGAAAACTATCGTGCTCTTGTAGATGCTATATTTGAGTACGAAGAAAAAAAGGAAGACAAGGTTCATTTACTATTTCATTTTGTAATATGTATGAATTTAGACTTTTTTTTTATTTTATATATATATTTTTATTTAATTCATATTGGGTTTGACTCTATAATCTATATCATTTTTCTTATCTATGCTTCTTGTAATGCACACCTTTTGATAGAGAGTTGAAGTGAAGCAGGAGCCAGTGGATTGTAATGGGTCTGAGTCTGCAAGTAAAAAGTTGCATGAGGATCCAGATGAGGATGAAGCATCATCAACATTTGATAGTGATGAGATGTTGGTAGATTATAAAGAAGGAAACATTCTTCCGACATCTTCCTCAAGTAAAGGACCGGACACTTCAATTTTTTCATGTGTAGAGAACAAACAAGTTGAATTTGGTTCCTGCTCTGCTAAGCACAAAGGAAAAGGCCAGCTTTCATCGTTCAAGGTCCCTACTTCTGAGAAAATTGCGTCTGAAAGAGCCGTAAGTTTATCATGCTCTAAATTTCCCATAGATGGAGCTGCCTCTCTTCCTGTGGAATTAGAAGAGGTTTCTGCAAAGTGTCTGATACCTGTTAGCGGAAGTACCTCAACGATTCATTCAGGTATTTTCTATTGCATGAATTGATTCATACAATTTGGATAGACAGGGTATTCTAGCTGATGCTGCTGTTTTCTTGTAGTGCTTCCTGATTTAATGGAGGGTTCTTCAACGGGAAACATATCTGCAAAGTTATCCAGTTGTTTGGATCATGACAATACTAAAGAAAGTGCTACTGCTTGTAATTTTCAGAGAATTGAACACAAATTTGACATTGTTTCATTGCCCTCGGGAGATGTGAAACTCTGCTGTGTCTTGGCTCTTGGAAAAATTTCTTCTCATACACCAGATATGGATGCAGTTCTGAAATTAGTGGAAGAGGAGTTTCTAAGATCACATAAGATCACGGGCCCTCCTTTTTCATTGAAATCTTTACTGGAAGATGTTTGTAAGAGATATTGTGAATTAGCTAATGATAGTACAAATCAATCATTAGTTAGATCAACATCTCCTGTACAAGACATAAAGGACACTATAAACCATCAAGTTGATGATGAGAAGGAGCCAGATATTGATACCACACAGGTATTCCAAAATGGTAGGAAGCGGCCAGCCCAGCTTTATGTTGATGATATTACGAAGGGTGAAGAGAATGTGAAGATCTCATTAATTGATGAGCGTGGCAATAGGGAACTTCCTAAATTTTTTTACATACCAAGAAATATTATTTACCAAAAAGCAATAGTCAATATCTCATTGGCTCGGATTTCAGATGAGGATTGTTGTCCTGCCTGTTCAGGGGATTGTCTCTCTTCACCAGTACCTTGTGCATGTGCACGAGTAACTAATGGTGAGTTTGCCTACACAGAGGACGGGCTTCTTAATCCAGAGTTCTTAAAAGCTTGCTTTTCTGAGAATAAGTACGTCTATTGCCAAGATTGCCCAATAGAGAGGGCTAAGAATGAGAGCAAGCCTGAAAAATGCAAGGGTCATTCTGTGAAGAAATTTATTAAAGAATGTTGGAGTAAATGTGGTTGCAGTACGCAATGTGGTAATCGAGTAGTGCAACGAGGGATCACTCGCAACTTGCAGGTAAAATTTATCTAGAATCTAACCGGTTTGCATTAATTGATTTGTTTACAGATTGAACAAATTTTATGTTGGATCAGAATGTTGCAATCTGAAGTAATGCCTGTGATTCAAGTTTAAAATTTCCCCTTTAGTATGAAGTATATAAAATATAAAGCAGCAGCGGCTTACAACTGTGGTTCTAAAAAGCATAAAAACACTCATGTACACACACCAAAGAGAAGTGTCATATGTATGCTTGTTTGTGCTCGCATTTTCAAAGGTTCTTTTGCATACAACGAACCATCATTAGTTGAAAGTGTCACACCTTAATTTTCCCTTGTATCTCCATTGCTTATTATAGTGCTCTATCTTTCAGGTTTTTTGGACATCTGATGCGAAAGGATGGGGCCTGCGGACCCTGGAAGACTTACCTAAGGGTGCATTTGTATGTGAGTATGTTGGTGAGGTTGTAACAAATACAGAATTGGATGAGAGGAATAAACAAAGTAGAGCAAATGAGAGGCATACATATCCAGTTCACCTTGATGCAGACTGGGGTTCTGAAAGTATTTTGGATGACGATTTTGCACTCTGTTTGGATGCTACAAATTATGGGAACATTGGTCGATTTGTAAACCACAGGTATTATTCTTGTCCCTACTAAGTTTATGGTAATCTATAATGTTATATTACTGCCTTAACTATTAAAATCTGAGAGATTCAATGTAGTTTTTTTTGTGACTTTGCTTTTATATATGTGCTGACTTGGAATTACTCGACTTTTGGACTCAGATGCCATGATGCCAACTTGTTTGAGATTCCAGTTGAAGTGGAGACTGCAGATCATCATTATTATCATGTATGTCATTTCTTACCTTCCTAAAGGAATCATAATACATACCTTTTCTTTTGGGTTGAAGCACATCTTACATAGATTTGTTCGTATTCTATAATTTGGCAGCTTGCTTTTTTCACCACACGAGAGGTGAAAGCGTATGAAGAGCTAACCTGGGTAAGTTCGTTTGGCATGGTGATTTCCAAAATATTGTTTAGGGCCTGTATAAGTGAACTGATATTTTTACAACATTTGAACTGTCCTATAGGGTGACTTCTTATTCTTTTGATGGTCAGTTTTGTTTAGTCTTGAGGGGTAATTTTTGAAATTATTGAGGGTGACTTGTATATTGTCGAGAAGTAGTTTATGATATTGTTGAAGGGTTACTTGATGCGCCTCAGCTGTCTAATAAATTGGGTGAAGCCTGTCCTTCCTTAGCCCATAGCCCCATATAATTAATATGAATGTGCAACTGATTGCATTGATCCAGCAGATGACTGTGATGTGAAAATTCATTTTTATCAGAAAGCAGAAATGTCATGTATTAATATGGTGATTTATGTGTTTAGCAAATTGCACCTACCACTTGGAAGAGTGCCTTGAGTAAACTCTAACCTTATTATTAAGGAGTGACTTATTCATTGTTGATGGATGACTTCTTAGTTGTTACATTGTTCAGAAGTGACTTTTTAATGATATTATATCCGGATAAGAAAGTTAAAACCTTTAAAGATATATGAAATGAGACTCATATTGACTGCTTCCCTTTCTTTTGGTCTCTATAGGATTATGGGATTGACTTTGATGATGATCGTCATCCCATCAAGGCATTTCGATGTCGATGTGGAAGCTCATCCTGTCGATTTAAGTCTCGTAAAGGTTCGTTTACTCTTACACTTGATAGTCTTCTTGCATTTGCTAGTTAGAAGTTACGAGTAACAATTGTTGCAGTCGCAGTTGGATTTACCAAAGTAGTAACCCCCCTTATTATCGAACTTTGTTATTCAGTCTATGAATCGTAACACCTAATTATTAATGCCTTCTTTTGTTACAGGATCAAGATCAAAGTCAAGGACATCCATTTCCATTAGATGATCACCCATTGTGCATAGTTTTTACAAATGCAAATATCTCTTCTTTAGAGGGGAAAGAGAGGGAGAGATAGGAGGCGATTGCAACAAATCAATCGAGGTGGCGATGCAACCCTATCAATGAAACTCTCTCTAACTTTCAATTAACCCTTAACTATTATTTCAATTAATCAATTTTTAACTTGAAATGATTGACCCACAGATTTTCTTTCAAGGATATGGTGATAAACCACAGAAATAATTCTTTGAAAACTGTGTTTATAATGCTGATTATCTTTTCGTAAAGAATTAATATCAATTAATTTAGTCGGTAAAGTATTCTCCGAATTTAATCGTAAAATCCACCCCCCTTTGTGCTTCTACTTGCAAGGACAAAAAAATTAAGAAAGGAAGCGTAAGCTTTGCATGACAAGGACTGAATTTTTGATTTGTAGTTTTGGTGATGGTTGACAATTTTATGGATTTATTATCTAATAAATCATAATAACGTGAGAATTGTTGAAGTATTTTTGTGACTACGACCATTCATATCAAAGAATTTGGTGAAAGTTTATTTACTAATTACTACGTATTTATTTATAAATAATAAAATAATTGGATGGATTTTTTAAACCAAAGTACGAGTACCAAACTAGCTCCGTTGAAAATATTTATGGTCAACATTGCATTGTAAATGTAAAATTGAGTAAACTTAAAGAAAACGAAGGTACGAGTATTATTTTTCAGACTTATGTATAAATCTTATGTATTTCTCAAAATTATGTACAGTCTACTAGCTCTACCACCTAAAATATTTGATGTTTTAGTTTTGAGGACCAAACTTGATTGTGAATGTTACTAGAAATATCATGACAATTAAAAAACAATACATATTACCATTACCCACATCTTAACATGTTTCTTGTTTTGGTTCTTTTTTTTAGGATCACCGTCAAAAAAGGATTATTTTAAGACATAGAGAATATTCTAGTATATATACACTTATAGTTAGGTCACCAATGTTTTGTTAAAATCAGAGAGGCTGAAAATTAGTGTATTATTACTCCTTCAAGATTTGAAAATTTCTTAAGCCGTATACCTAATTCAGGATAAAGCAATGCCTTTATTAGGTAAATGTTGAGTAAGTTAAGTATCAATACTTAAAACTTTAAAAGCGATATAGTCAATCAACAACAACTGATTACTGATTAGAACACATTTGGCTACTAGTCTAGGTACTCCGTAGCAATTTTCAAAAATAACAAATTTATAAATAATTGACGTAGACATGTAGTAATGATTTTTGAGAGAAATTGAGGACAAAATTAATTTTTGGTTTTAAATGTCTATCCTGATATTTATCATCTTATCTGTCTGTTTTTTTTCGTGTGTATTAATTTGGCAATGATTTTTTTTTTTTTAAAGTAATATTGTTTACAAAAAAAAAAAAAAAAAAACATATTGTGGTTTATACAAATCAGCTTGCACCATGTCATCAACCGTAATGTACATTTGTGTAACATGTCATTTTATGAGTAGTTTTAACCCAAGGTTGTTCAAATGCAAATACTACAGTAAGTATTTAGTGGTGGTCTTAAAAAAAAAGAAAGTATTTTAGTGTTGGTTTTAAGTCTTCTAGAAGATTCGAGGACAATAGACCAAGAAAACGGCGAGTTTTTTTTTTTTTTATAAAAAGAAATTACATTATAGATCTCAACAAAATTAGAAATGTGAATAATTAACATAAAAGAGCTAACTTTTGAAAAACCTAATTTTTTTCCCAAAAAAAAAAGTCCACATTTTATAATTATCCAACTAGTTATAGGCTCATAGCAAGTTATCAGGACGTTTTTCCAAATTGAGCCCAAATTGGTAAATATTTACCAAAGTAGACGCGTGGCAAAAGTATTTACCAAACTAAGCTTCTAGGGTAAAACGCTGTCTCGGTCAGCGTTTTATCCTGGAATATTTTTTTTAAAAAATTCAGTAGATAAAACGCTGTCCCAGACAGCGTTTTACCTTAAAAAAAATAAGAATTCAAATTGAACATAAAACGCTGCCCGAGACAGCGTTTTATGTTCAATTTTTTTGTTGAACATAAAACGCTGTCTGAGACAGCGCTTTATGTTGAAACCTAAAGCGCTGTCCCAGACAGCGTTTTTCTGCTGGAGACAGCAGACCAGCAGCAACCACCACCAACATGCTCCAGCAACCTGCAGCACCCCCAGCCTTCATACAGCCAGCACCCTCAACCACCACCAGCAACCCCTGCCGTCGACCACCAGCAACCACCACCTCCCGCCACTTTTGACCACCCTTATGCCGTTGAAAACACTCCAACAACCCCTGCAACACTGCAATCACCACCACCACCAACCCCTACCGTCCCACCACCGTCGACCTCCACCAACCACCACCTCCCGCCACTGTCGACACCCCCAACAGCACTACAACCACCGTGAACCACCAAAGTCCGATTTAGACAAATAAGGAAATTAAACTTTACATCACACAGATTCATTAAAAAAACATTCATTATATTAATAATATAAGTGTTATTTACATCATTCTACAAAATCGGGCTACAGGAAGTAAATGACCTAATACTATCCCGACTCATTTATTCGGGGTAAAGGTTCTGTCTCTGTGTCGGCCCTCCGTCTGACACGCCGCCGCCTGTAATGGGTAATGGTGGTAAACGGGTCTCGGGGCGGTGGGGTAGTAAGCTGGCTAGACGATGGACCCTCTTGGGTAGGGGTCGGCGCAGAACTGTGGAAGACGTAGTCCTCTGCGTCTCTGGGTGACGTAAGATCACCTCCACAGCTACTCTGGCCGAGCTCGAACTGTGAATGGACCGAGCGCCCATCATGGTCGTCCCGCTGGGTGACGAGATAGCCGTGACCATATCTCTGTAAGGTAGTCACGCCCATATCGCGTACCCGCTGGACCTGGGGTCTGGTGGGTCCGTCTACGAGGCTGATTGACAGTGCATCAACCATCGCAGCCATATCCGCAGCCTGCAGTAATCATCGATCAGTAAGTTGTATGATATAGAAATTAAAAATTGATAAAAATAAGTAGAATAAAAGAAACTCACATATCCGTGAATGACGTCATATGCTGGGTGGTAATGTGTCGAGGGTGGTGTGTAACTGGGGTTGATGAAACGCCGTGTAATACGCCTGTACCACACCATGTATGGATCGGTGGGATCCACAACGCCCTCCATCGGGTCACCTCCAACGACAAACTCAAGGCGTTGCGTCCACAGCTCAACGTAACGCCAATGCTCCAGTAACCAGCTGGTCTCCCCCTTTCCCCGACGGTCAACGCCGTGAAGGCGTACGCTCGTGTCACACTGCTGGGGGATGGGCTGGCGTAGTCCAAACTGCCTCAGGACTCGGTCGGGTAGGTGACTCTCCACGACCTCAAAACAGATCAGGGGGACCCTGGCGCGCCACTCCGCCTGATGGTCCAGCAGATGTGCAGGCATGGAATCTACCAAGTCAGGTACATACGGATCCCATGTCATCTGCAATAACACAGCAACAGTAATATCAAGAAAAGGTTAGTCTCAGACAGTATTCACATTACAAAAATGATTACAAGTATCTTTAAATTATTACCTGGTCCTCGGTCAGGCGGTCTAGGGCGTCGCGGTAGTATGGAAGCCCCCTCGCGGTATGCGCATGTGTCAGTCTGCGGACCACCCACCTAGTACCGGAAAAAGATTCAGGTTATCAACTAATACAATAAATGAATGAAGTCTACAGTAATGAAAACGGTATCGAACCTGCAACCGTACGCCTCATCAGGTGTAGGGAGCGGTGGAGCATCGTACGCCTGGTACTGGTCGTCCCGGTCCTGCTGTCCCAGCCGATGGTACGCAGGCCTACCTGGTCTGCCTACATGTATATGCTCCCAAGCCCAAAACTAGCACACAACAATACAAAACTCGGGTTAGTATAAACTACGTAAAAGGCTTTCGAAATAAGTTACTGGTAATTAATTAGGTGAGTTACCTGAAGCACTATCAACGGACCCCCGATCTCGCCAGAACCAAGGTGGGATGCTCTGCACAGCTGGCGATACAACGTCGCCAAGCAGGCACTACCCCAGCTGTAGCCACGGATATGATCCCAATCGTGGTCTAACAGCTGCAGGTACAGAAGCTGCAGGTGGCTCCCGCTCTTGTTCCCAAATAGCACGCCCGAGACGAGGAAAAACAAGTACGCCCGAGCGTATCTCTGAACCGTGGCGTCATCCGCGCCCTGAGGTAGCTGACTGAAAGTGTCGCGTAACCAGGCGGTCCTCAACCCGGACCCCCTA